AGGTATAACGTTTGATGCTGAACATTTCTTCTACCCTGGTAAATAAACAGCTGTTAATGCTAACGCTGGTTATGTAGCAATAGCAAAAACCTATATATAGCACCTTTAAGTTCTGTCCCTTTCTGCAAACTGCAAAATGGTTATGGAGGTGTCTGGATTACTTCCTTGACTGGTGCTGCACTGGCAGATCATTGTTAGTATCTAGGATGCCCTTTTAAGTGTCTGCCTCATAAGAGCTTTAGAGGTAGCATCTGCAAGAAATAAAGAAAAACAAGATGTGAATGTAATAACATAAACTTAAATCATTAAATTGCCTGATTAAAAAAATACAGAAATTATCTGACTTCATCTGTTTGTGTTTGTTGGTAATAAATAAATTATCAATTTATTAGACATAAAAACAATGTTCTTCATTATTTCATGGAAGAGATTATAAGCCTGAATGCCACTCAAAGTAAGATAGCTCTGGCAACGGGAACAGTTTGTGTGTCTCACTGGAAATGTATGTACGTCAGTGGAAGAATGTGGGCCCTCCCTCAAATAGATTTTAGAGCACGTCTCTGCTTTAAAATCTGTCTCCCTCCCTCCTTCCCCCCTCCCATCTGACACGGATACTGTATATGATGATGAGATGATGAATATGTTATGCAACACAGTATAGCCTTATTCGAGGTCTGACCTCCATTTCCCAATGAGCAAAGACTTCACAATTACAAGAAAACTAATTTGTTTTACCCTGCTAAGCCTTTGTACTTTAACATGGTATGATGTAGCGCCGCTTATCTGAACTTTTTTTTTTTTTTACTATTTTGTTGGTCTTGTGTTAACATTTGTGTAATGAACACTGCATGATACTGAGGAAAAGAAAACTGCATGGTGAAACATCCAAAAACAAAACACTTGGAAATATTGCTGATTTTTTTTTAGACTTTCTATTTATGGCTGTTGTTATCTTGTATAGAGCGAGTGCTCTTCAATTGCATGTGACCCAAAAACCACTAGCAGAGGCCTTCTCCCCCGAAATCCCAATCCCACTGAGACCCTGGCTAAAACGCAAACAACTTCTGTCAAAACACAAGGCCTCTGTGTGGAGCTATTCCAGAAACATCATAACCAAGTAAAATTCATGTCAAAATCCTTGAATATTATGACTAAATACCACATCATGTCGATAATGTAGAAACCTCTCATTATTTTAAAATGAGCTCATTTGTTCTACATAACAGTGCAACAGCAAAACAATAAATGCCATTCACCTTAAAAAGAAAAAAAAAACACAGAAATAAAGCCACGGAGCCAAGCCAGTGCTATTTTCCAGCTTCAAGTTCAGCAGAGTGCCTGTCTTGCCTCTGGCTTGGCAGGCTGCACCAGCCTGCTTCATAAATACTGCACAACCAACGCTTGATGAAAACCCCCACTTCTCTCAGGTACAACTGCACTCTGGAGAGCTTCATTATCTACAGTATGGATAAACTGTACCTACAATCTGTGTGTGTTGTGTCAGGGAGAGACTTTGAGAGAGAGGGAAGGACGGGGGAAGAGAGAGAGAATGTGAGTAACTGATTTGACTAATTTGTTAGACGCCTTGAAATTTCTGCTCTATCTATAATATCTAAAGTGAAAGGATAAATGATTGGTTCCAAAATAGTCAATGACTGAAATAAAGTGCGTGAGTGTGTTCATGCAAAGGTAGAATCAGTCAGTTTGACAACATGTCGTAGTAGGCATAGGGAACGTCAAATATATCCTTTGGGACCTGATCTGATCCCATGTGGGGTTGTTTGATAAGCAGACTGGTGTAATGTTGCACAAATTTAACTCACAAATCCAGGAAAGGTACATAATTGCATTGTCACATGTTAACTAATCTAACCATCGGTGAAACTAACAACCAGTAATTTAAGTAACATTTTTATATTAACAGTGAAGCAGTGAAGATGTGAAAGGGGTGGCCAACATGGATTTATTACCCAACTCTGCAGCATTTTAGCATTTTTTAATATTTGCTAATTGTTGTGGCCTTATAGACTGCACCAGTTCAGGCTCACTACTCTCATCAAAACTGTTTACAGCTGCAGCAGGCAACTGCTTTCAGCACGCAAGCTCTGACAAAGTGTTGTATATTATTCAGCACCAAACAGAAGACATCAAGGAAGGCAAGGACCGCACGAGAGCTGAAAGGAGACGAAATTTTTTGGACATCAGCACAACTTGTTATATTAAATTGTGTATATACAGGCTGTAAAGGTCTTTATATTTACAACTACACTTATTACAAAGCGTACAATGAATCAGCAGTCTAGAACATGGTATATTTTGGTAGCAGTTTGGTGGCACCCAAAGTAAAATCCATTTGTTTGTGTTTCTCCCCCTCTGCATCCTACATCAATCTCCATGTTCCTCTCCCTGGTCCCACAGATTACACAGCGGTGCTACATGAGGACACGCTGTCCTCAGCATCTGGTCAATTGTGAGTTTTTTCTTTTTTTTTGAAGTTTTAAAGTTCAATTTGTCATCACTGCTGTTCCAGACTAGACGGGGTACAATGGCTAATGGAGCTGTTCTAATAGTTCAGATAGTCCACTAAGTCAGCGTTCCCTGGATACCAGTTAGCAATGAACAACCAAGCATTGAGAGTTGGACAGCCGATGTGGGATCGGCTTAAGTTTCCAGATAAGCGAATGAAATTTGAGAGATGGGACAAAGTGTGTGATTCCGGGACACTCTAAAAGTTGAATGTCCTCTGCTGTAATGGGGTCCTTGGTAGCTCATCATCACCCACATAGAATTTGTACAATCTGAGATAACTACTCTTCAAATTCTTCATAAAAAGGCTAAATCTATGGGAATGGCTCTACAATATGAGTGATCTGCCTAACACCTTGATTAGAAACACCACAAAAGTGGCTTTATTTAAAGAAATAAGTAAGACAGGGGTAGTTCTTTTTTTTATCTGGATAATTATCTCGCAACACAAAATTTTGCTAGAAAATCAATCCTGGAAATATTTCTATGGAAAAAAATGATAATAGTATAAAAATCAGGTTTAAAATAGGATTTTGAAAACACCAATAATGCATTTTTCGTATGAGCTTGGTAACTGTAAACTGTGATGACCCATGTCCTTTTTGCAGTGGGAAACATAACAATGGTTCCCAGTGGTTTCGGGACATGAAATCATTTTAAACTGATCTGCTTCTTTTCAAAAAATTCCAGGAAATCTTCGGTAAAAAAAAAATCTATATAGACTAAACCAAAAATGGCAATGCTACAAAGAGCCACCAAAGTTTAAAGACTAGTGTGCAAGCACACCTCTAACAATTAACAGACCCATCACCCCGTTGAGTACTGAACTATTGTGCAAGGTGTCAATACCTCTGAGCATTTAACCTGTCAACTATGATTACACCACAAATCAAAAGAAGAGAACTGATGAGCCATGTAATTACTGCTATTAAGCTTTTCTTTCTTTTTTTCCCATGTGTGGCTCTCTAGCTATGTCATAGATGGATGATTGTGAAACAAGCTCTCACCAGCACACATCACCACAACATCACCAGGTTCTCTTTTATTCCCCCAACATCTCTTGGTATTATCTCAGTCTGTCACTAGAGGGCATGAGCACAATTAGGGGCAAAAGAATAACCTTCAGTAGAGGAGACTGGGGTGTGAAGGGCTGATCAGTTTCAGGTATCTCTTGCTGAGTGAGAGAGTGAGTGAGTGAGTGAGAGAGTGAGTGAGTGAGTGAGAGAGTGAGTGAGTGAGTGAGTGAGTGAGTGAGTGAGTATATCATGCTATTGTCAGATAACTGCAAGTTGTGTAAATCTTGTGCGAGATTTGTTCAATACATAACATACTGTAACTTCCTTTATTTGATGGGAGACTGCTCTGTAACATACACCTGCACATCTGAGTCAGAACATGAACCAGATGTTGACATGTTGATTCATAGAGGATATTCCTAAATAGAGCAGCATGAGTATTTTTCACTGAAAAATACAGGAGTACGTGTGTTCGGAGGCTGAAATCAGTGCTATTTTGGGGATGTGAGCGACTTCTGCTTCAATCTCCAAGTTAGCTCATTGAACCAGTATTCAGGGCATGCAGAGCACATCCACCTCATTCATGGATTTCTGGTCACAGCCGGCTAATTATCATGGGTGACATTAAACATCTCCCCTACTCATCCTCTACACTCATAGTTTCCAAAAATGTCCATGGACCTCCAAGATCAGCGAGTTATACAACAGGGTTACTTAGGTTTCCCTTTAACTGACACATCACATCATCAGGAACAGAATGATACACAATCCAGTTTTGACTATTCACAACGCTCTCCTTCCACTGACACTGCAGCAACGATCTGAGCATGCAACACCACAGGAGCTTCTTATAAGGACACATCAGTTGGATCAAATTTGGCTCCATAATGTTCAAAGTTTGGGAACACGTGCGACACACCACTGGCCAGCGCCGAGGATAAACAAAGGCTTTCAAAATATTTAGATGTGACCTCACACCTCGCGGGCACACAGCAACTTGGCATGCTAAGTGCACCATCCATTTGCTTATCAGCAGCACAAACATAGCGCACAGCACAATGATGATGACCACATGAACAGCGGTGTCAGAGTGAAGGTAAAACAGCAGCGTTTGCACAGTGAGGAAGGTGTTGCTATTCGGGACAACATATGATGCGTAAATCACAAGAATGCTAGACTAATGATGTGTCTTAGAAGCTGTAGAAACTGACGCGGGCCTACGGAGCAAACCAGTCATTAGTCTCATAATAATAAAGCTTGATAGCACAATCTCTATTATCCCGGTTGGCTCGATGTCATAAAGGAAAGGTGCGTAAAGCTGTCACACATGCCATCACAGAAAGAGAGAGCAAACCAAAAGGCATCATAGGCCTGCGGCGGTTGAAAGGTCATAAGCAGAGCAATATCAAAACATTCACTATGCTCTGGTTCAGATGCCCAAAGTTGGACATGTCTTACCTGGTCCCGCGGAATGCAGGGCAGCGAAGTCCTGCGGTGGGACTTGCTGTTGCTCTGACAATGAGCCATCATTTCCGAGGCCGCTATGGAGCTGGACCTCCGTCTCCTTTTGAAGACAGGGATGTCCTCCTCCTTCGCCCCGGTCACAGAGCCACAGCACCCCGTCCCGCTGGTCCCTGAGGCCGGCAGGAGCCGGTCAGCATACCTCGCAAGCAAAACCCCCAGCAGCCCCAGCAGGTAGGCCAGGTAGGGTCTCCAGCTGGCCCGGACGCTGCTCAGAGAGACGAGGGAGACGGCCCTGATGACGCTAATGAAGATGAGGATCGACACTCCCTGACCCACCCGGACGACCAGCAGAGCCCCGCTGCCCAGGCAGCCGAGGACTACCAGGGTTGCGGGGAGGGACAGCAGCTGCTCCTCTGCGCCGCGCAGGAGGGACTGCGCCGCGGCTTCGCCCAAGTGGCACACCGCTAACAAAAAAAACGCGGTACGGATGAGCACCCCGCAGCGAATCAGATACAGCCCGACCCAGAAGAAGGCACATACGAGCGTAAAAACTGGGGAGACGCAGTAACACGCAGTCAGAAGCAGCTCCACTGCACAGCCCGCCGCGAAATGAAGACGAGAGTCAGAGCTGCTTCTATGTCCGTTGCTGCTGCTGCTGCTGCTGCTGCTGCTGCCTGCATCCCAGTCGACCAATCTGAGCAGCAGAGCGAGAATAACGGAGACGGAGGCAACGCAGACCGCAGACGACACTCCTCGGCAAGTCCATGTCACGGCGAGTCTCAGCCACGACTGGCTCCCTGCGTCCTGGTGCAACGGGGTGACACATGTCTTCACGTAGCCGTTGCGCTCCAACGCTGCCCGGGGATATTTTTCATGAGCGCTTCTTGATGAACCTCTGTCGCTGTCTGCCTCCAAGGCCATGGCTATCAGTCAAGTGGAATACTGCCCTGACCGTCCGGGAAAAAATGATAGATTTAGTCTCTGTGTGAGTGTCTCAGTCTAGTCTACATATTCCACCTATGATTCCCATGATAATGCGTGTTGTCTGTGCGCAGCTGACACCAAAATACTGGTCAGTGATGCTTGCCTCCCAAAACAAAAGTTCAAGACGTATGCATATAATTTAAAAATTGCCAAATTATGTGGTTAAGAACTTTTTTTTTAGTTTTGCTGTTCAGAACTTCCCCATTACATTTGGTCTACTATTGAGTTGCCCCTGGTAGTCAACCAGTGAACCAAAAAAGCAACCCCTAGCGTTTCACACATCTAGGCCACTGCCTCCACTCCTCCACATAGTCTCTCTCTCACCCTCCCTCGCTTTCTCTCCCCTCCCACTATAGACACTATCCCTTTTTTTGTGCCGCTCCGGTGATTCCTCCGTCACGTTTTAGCTCTTCTCAGTGTTTCTGTTCAGTCTGCCCTGGATGTGACTCAGTTCGCTGTGGATGTCTGCCATGTTTACACGAAGATTTCCTGGCTTGTTCTGGAAGATGGAGCAGCACATTATAAGAATGAACTGTAGTAATCCTCTAATACATTTTGGAGATACACTACACATATGACAGGGGGATCTAAAAGGGATCTCATCCTGGTCCCACACGACTTTAAACAATATCATTCATCAGTCTAAGGTCACTCAGAACTCACATGTCCACCACACCTTACTATAGAGGGAACCTGTGTGAATTTCCAATTTACATAACATCCTCAATGCCAGGTGAAGTTACTTTTTCACCTCCAAAAAACAGACACAGCATTAAAAAAAAGAAGAAAAAAAAAGAAAAGTGCAGTCCAACATACAACAAGCAGAATTTAGCTCTGGCAATAATCATGTTGCTACCCATATTTTTTTTTTCCTGGATTAAAATCCTAAATCACATCATCCTCTGCCTCCTGTGTGGCCTAGGACAAGTTAGCAGCCTTCACCTGTTTGCCCTACTTTTTATGAGAGGATTTTAAAGGATGCGATGCAGTCACATAAAGCTATTTCAAGTCTGATTCAACTATATGAATTTGTTCTCTGAAAAGAAAGGCATCACAGATGCTCTATTATGTCTGAAACATCTGCCAAAACATCTGTCTGATAGATCAGGTACTATTTGTTTTGCGTACGCATCAAAAATTTATGAGGTGTCTTCTTTCACCCATTAGTAGTTTGAGTTATGATGTAACGTAGGAACAGTGTTTTATTACAGTGGTGTTATACAACATGGGTCAGTGCAATCAGTCAAATGCAATCAGGGCATAAATCTCATGTTTCAGTCATCCCATCACAGTGGACAGTGGGCGTTTGCCAGTATGAGTTGTTCTTTTTTACTGAAGCTCTGTTGAAACCTTTGGATGTCAGTGGGGCTGAGGGGGAAGTTAAATGCAGAAAAGGCTAAACAGTCTTTGCTTTATTTTATTTATTTACACATTTATTTAGCCCTTGCTGAATATTTACAAGTCAGTCGGCAAGTGTGCAACCATTTTAAAGACACAAAAAAAATCACTGAATTGTGATCTGGTCCAATATATGGCAACCCACAGGTGCACTAAAGGAACAGACTGAGTCTGGGCTGGCTCCAGCAGGGTTCAGCTCTGTCTTTGCTGTACATCAGCAATAACACCCAATAAATCACGTTTTTGGCAAAGGTAGCCATGATAATAACATTCTTTGCCCTTTGCCCTCAGAGATGTTGTCCAGACACACTCCTCTAGTTGTACGGAGGAAGTGTTGTAACAGTGTCATCTATCATTGTGAAGTGCGTGAAGAGAACTGGATGTGTGTGTGTGTGTGTGTGTGTGTGTGTGTGTGTGTGTGTGTGTGTGTGTGTGTGTGTGTGTGTGTGTGTGTGTTTGTCATTGTTGGCTTTCATCAGGTTATCTGTGGCTGCTTACAGAACCACACGAACACTGTACTTCCTGTAAGTATACATTAAGCCTGTCGTTCTATGTAAACAATCCGCTTCATGTTCTGACCTGTCACAGTGGATGACAGGACTTCATCACCAAATGTTCCTGTAAGCTTGTGTAATGTCTACGGTATATAACAGGTCATAATGTGTGCTGTAGCTGTACAGTCAAGTATTCATCTACACATTCTTATGAATAAATGTGTATTTGGATTCTTTGCATTGCTGCTAACACAGTAGCCATGCAACCAATATAAAGTTACAGAGAACTTAAGTTAATTTTTTCATGTAGCCTATCATGTGTTACATGCTAAACATGTGTCAAACTAGAATTACCACCTCACCGGTTGTATGCCTCCACAAACCAGTCAGGTTGAAGGTCACAATCTCCCCTGCTGTTCCTGAGTTACAGTGTTTAACAATGTGCCAGAAGCGTTTCTGCAGAACATTATGATGTCACAGTGAAGTTGACCTGGGACCGTCTGTATACAAAACGTCATCACTTCATTATTTTATCCTATTAGACATTTGTGGTCAATATTGGAAGTTCTTTTTTGTTCATTGTTATTTTCAGTATTCTACATTTGTTCAAATCTCCATTCAAAAAAGGTAAACAAGCCTTAACAGCTGTTATATCACTTATAACATGTTGTAGAATTTCAATAAATTGTTAAAAAATCTAATTTCTTTGGATGGCTCATTAGATGACTATTTTTTCTAAATAACAGCCTTTCTTAACTTCTTTAAAGCCCCCACTCTTTTTATAAAAACACAATTTTCTTTCTTTACTTTCCTCTTTACCTTTATAAATGATGTTCTCTTTTTCTTCAGTTATGGTCAAAAATGTGTTTTGTGAAGTCACAGTGACCTTGACCCTTGACCTTTAACCACCAAATTGGTTCTTCCTTGAGACCAAGTGAAGGTCTGTGCAAAATTTGAAGAAATTCCCTCAAGGCGTTCCTGAGATATCACATTCACAAGAATGGGATGTACTCTTCTTGAGCTCACTGGCAGTTTCATAAATTTTTTGCAATCAAATGTGACTAGGGTTGAATAACTAACTAACCCCGCCCATCATTATCGAACCACACTTGACCGTTAGAAAGTGGGCAGCTCGCTACAAGAGCTATATCATCGTAGCAGGTGTGTGTTTGCACAAAACTTAGGTTTACATTTCCAAGCAATGTGATTGAGGTCTAATTTATTATACTCCCATCCTTCTCCTCCAGATCTAACAATGTAGGTGGAGGTGGATGGTCCTCTACAGCTCTGGATGAGCCTGTATTCACTAAAACCACGCCCAGTTCTGTGCAAACAATGAAATCACATCTGAAGGATTTAATTTTAAATTCATCCTTTTGCATCAGGATGTGTTTATGTTTCCTGGGAAAAATCTGTAGCCTGAAAGAAATGATGCATTATAAATTAGAGGCACCAGTGTTGGTTTGGACTAAAGAGAGGAAGAAGATGTGAGCAGTTAAAGAGCAAATTGACAGTTACTGAAAATCATTTCCATTTCTCACCTTGCTGCAGTAATGTAGAAGTGTACTCCAGGGTGTGTCGGTACACCATGACATCATTGATGGGTATGGTTACAGGTTCAACAAAGCACACTTTTCCATCCAACCAGGTGTGCAACAGATCTGAAACTTTCAACAACAGAGGGTGGTGAAACATGACTTCTCTGCCTGCTGTTCAGTTCACTTAGTCTTTAACCGCACCTGAAACATTCTCTATGAGAATCTCAGGGATTAAAGTTAAAGTGCTCACCCCATAGACTTACACACACAGCAAGAACAAGAGCAAGCAGTACGTGTTCCTCATCTGCATCAACACTGCATTATTTAGTATTTGAGTTGCAGTATCAAAATTAGTTCAGTAATGATCGTAATTTTCACATTATTAACCATGACATAGTAAATGGTGTTCCAGATATAGATCCCAACCCCAAAAATTAGAGCACCAAATATTTTCTAGACACATGGCTCCCATTACTCGTAACAGTGTACAGACAACTAGCAGTATTAAACAGCCAAAATTTTCAAAACACTTTAAAATTTCCAATTACACATTGAATGATGACAGTTTTTTTTACTTTGTTAGAGCTGACTGATTAACTTTGCCATGGTTAACTTGGACCTCACAGAGAGGAGCAAGAGATGCAGCACATTTTAAGAACTTAAAAATACCATCTACACCACAAAGAAGACATCTCTTCTCTCCTCTCCTCTTCTCTTCTCTTCTCTCCTCTCCTCTTCTCTTCTCTCCTCTTCTCTGGTCAGGTTTTAAGTTTAAATAGCTGTAATTGTGAGGAATAGAAAAAAATGTAGAAAAGTACAAAACACGTCAGTTCAAGGAATCGTGTAACTGCTGTTAATGAGGCAGGAATTTCCAACTGTCTCTCGTACTTACACCCACTCACACATCCAAACAAACACATGCACAACGCATTGTTACGCATTTCACTGACACATTAATATGTTTTATGTTGTGGCTGTGAAAATATAAACCAAAACTGAGCATGTGACTGCTTTTGGTTTATCGCCAAGTTATACAAATGTGTACAGTTTACAGCGTTGTGCTACTGTTAAGTGTTCTTGAATAAACTTCTGCTTTTTAGACATCACAGGATGTGCTTCTGTTGTCATAACCTTTTTGGATAATGGCACATAAAGCTATCCGTCATGTTCTGACACACAGAGAGACGTCATTGGCTGGTTGTTTAGCTGCCAGAGACAACAGGCCGCCTGTGCTTGCGCCTGTTAAAGGAGAACACAGGTTATGCTATGCTGTACATGTGTGTGCCACAGTGTGTGTACATGTGCAAATGTGAGGAGAGAGGAGGGACTATGTCTCTCAGGGCTATGCAGCGGCGAAATGACTGTTCTCTCTCACGTCTTCCCTCTTGCCTCTCCGTGTTTTGCTAAACACCAGAAATGTTATTTGAAGGTGCTGCTCTGACCCTTTTCCTGCTCCGAGGGGGAAACTCTTTACATGCGCCCGTGGCACTCTACAGTTTTGGGTGCA